GATGGAGAATTTGCAGTGCGCCAAGGTGTTGTGCTAATGGCCTTGCATATGTTTTCCTGTTCCATTCTCACAACAACCCAACTGGAGTTATTAGCCCAATTTTACAGACTGGAGAGTGAGGATCAGGAAGTTACAGTCACTTGCCCAAAGTCACCTGGCTGGATTCAAACCCACATCGTTCTGATTCCAAAGCCCCTGGTCTTAGCCATTATGGTCCATGAGTACAATTCTCAGGGCTGTGCCCAGGTTCTCTCCCACAGGCTGTCGAGTGCTGTGGGTGGGGGTGAGGGCAGCTGCTCTGGCCCTGCCACTGTCTCCCTTGCTGCTGCCCCTTGGGTGGGGAAGTGTGTTGTGCAAAGTCTGAGATGTGAGGCCTGCCCATTGTCATGCATCAAGGGAAGGGGATCCCAGTGATAAGGATGATGATGATGATGATGATGATGATATCAGTCTATCGGCCAACCCAGCAACCCCTGTGGAGGTAGGCAGTCCATCGAGCATTAAGCCTGATAGAAACCAAGGGCCCGGCCATGAGGCCCAGCAGCCACTTGGATGGGTTGCAAACCTGGACTGCCACCAGGTGCACGGGACATTCAGAGCAGGAGCCAGTTCCCGAGGCAGCTGTGTGGGGTACTGTGATGCCTGTGGGAAGATTATGTTTATGGTGGGGTTGAAATGCAGAGAAAACCGAGGGAGGAGAGTGTGGGCTTCTCTTCTTATATGGGGCCTAGACATCCACTAACCACTGACATTCCTAGATAACTTGGTGTCAGAAGTCCCCAAAGTCCCCAAGAAGTGGACTTCTCCCTGGGGCTGAGTAGGGTCCTGCCCAGTGGGATGGCTGTGGAGCTGAGCCCCTGAGCTCTACTGTCCTTTGCAGGATGAGGTGCAAGTCCCAGCAGCTTGGCCGCGGCAGAGCTGGGTAGTGCCACATTCGTCACACCCCCCATCGCCCGGACTCCAGGGCTGGATGGCAGGAAATGCTGAGGGAACAGGGCAGAGAGGCTGGGGCCCAAGAGCCTGGGTCCTGCTCCCACTCAGCCTCTGTCCCTGTGAGGAGAAGTCCCTCTTCTCTCCAACCTGGTAGGAGTGACGGGTGGATAGAGCAGCTCTGTGGAGCAGAGAGTGCTCGGCAGATGTCGAGGTTGCCATTTGTGATCACCCCAGCCCTATGCGGTTGTCCTTCCCCCACCCACACTCTTCTAGGAAGCTGTCCCCAGGGA